TAAATATGTTGTAATTACTTAATATTTATAGAACTTATTAATCTGATCAAAAATTGTTTTAAAAGTTGCCGCTAGGACTGCCTTTTTTATATTCCATAATTGACTAAAACATCAAACGAACAGGTAATGCATCATTCGCATAATATTCACAATGTAAATGTGAAAATAAGTTTCACTGTATTTTATTTAACTATGCAATTCTTTTTCTGTCTGTCTATTAGATGACTGACTCCTCGAGTATACAATATGTGTAGAAAGAATAAAGCCAGCAAAAACAGCGGGGATTTCAATTAAAAATGTTGAATAAGTCATTTTCTATCCTGTTTTCTCTTGACAATATTGTGGCGTGTGCTATGGACAAAATTTATAAGGAATATGACAGATCCAGATTGATAGGAAGAGGTCACAATTGAAATCAACATTTTAAGGCAACGGCTACTAAGGCGTTTACGTTGTGGATATGACAAAACCTCATTGGACAACTCGTCACATTGTTTAACCTTGGGTTAATAATCAACCAATCAGAACCATTCATTATCTACTGACCTAGCTAACTTTTAATGTGTTTAAAAGTGTATGAATACGATGCGTTTTCCCAAGTGTGTTGATATTTTAAAATTGTTTAGAAGATGAGACTGATCATTCACAGATAAAAATTCAAAAGAGGTTAATCATAATGGATAAAAAATAGTAATTATAGAATCATTTAACTGTTCTACAAGTTGATCTGATTAGCCCTAATCTGTGATGAATTTTTTTATTTTTTTGATTACAGCTTGATTCCACACTGTATTTTTTGGAATAGGCATGGAATTTTCAGCATGTGATATCGGTAGCCCAAATTTTGCAGGCCGACCATAGATATCAGGTGTGCGTTGGCAGGAGATTGAACCCCGGACCATGTGCATCGTCTGCGAGACCCCTAGCCACTGTGCCACCGACGCAAAGAATACTTCACCACTTCTAGTTAGCAAATAATCTGTGTTAAATCTTCTCATTTCTGTGGGCTATTTTCATAGTCTTGGAGAAAATGCATTAACATTTCAGTGGCGAATATCACTCTGTGCCTGCATATTTCGTTTCTGCGTTACATTCCAATCTTGTACTTCTTATGTCACGAATCATTTGAATAGTTATTAGTTATAAAAAGATAACGTCTTCATAAACTTATTTTTCATATTATTTCATTTATTGTATTCCATTGAGTTCACAATAGAATGTAGGACCTCAAGACTGAACTTTGAAGTCTTATTATCAATGATGTTTATTTTTTCACTGTGTAGGGCTGTTAACCTCCAGCCCAATCTTTCCTCTTTACCAGGCTTACTACGAGGTAAGCGAATTTCAAGAGTAAGTTTGCCGAAGACTGAATCTTGGACAGAGTGATTAGTTGGCGAACGTTCTACCGCTGAACCACAGAAGCACGATTTTATGAATTTAAAGCTTTATCTACTTCATTCACACTGATGAATGCCTAAACTTTACATTGAAGGGTGTTTTTGTTTGATTGCTGGACTTTGAAGATAGACCCCAACCTGAATGCTCGTATATGAGGATATATATGAACTCCAGGGTCTTTGGGTATTAGAGAAAAGTACTGTTATTTTTTAATATTGCCAGCAACATTTCTCCAGTCTTTATATACGAATAGAACTTGGAAACTGATGTATAGCATAATTCCATCATAGAATAATTTTATTCGATTAAAGCACCCATTGATACAATATTATCTACTGATGTTTTGACTCGATGAACAAAGATTCCAAAAGTGACCTACCTTCCACTTATCTCTTTCATGTTTTAGAACTGTAGGTCTATCCTGGTCCCCTGTATGCTGGGGGTTAAATGCATACATGCATGCAAGCAGATAGGCATTGCGGTGACTAAATTTCCCCTTCTAGTTGCTCATCTTTCTGGAGTCAGTAATCCTACACTTAACTGAATTCCTGTATTCGCATAACTTCACTGATCCTGATCTACTGATATGACGTTGATATGATCATGCTGGAAGCGTGATCAGTAAATGAAAATGTACCACTGAGATGGAATTACCTCAGTCTTCTTGATCAAACAGAATATACAGACAATGAAATAAACTGACTAACAATGAAAAAATAACAATCATAATGATATTAATAACAATAACGACAAACTATACAAGGAAAGTTCATAGTTCTAATTATTTCAATAACTGAGAATGCATAACATCAGAGTAACTCAGTGAATCAGGGTCATCTAATGTTGAGATTATATCACATGAATACCATACCAAAAATTAAAATAACAAACAAAAAATGAAACAGAATTGCGTAATGTGTACAACAATGGCTGACTTAATGTTTAACTTATAGATAGCAAAATTCTTAGACATGAAAATTGCGTAATGAAGTTATCTTTATTACTACAAAAGAAATACCGGTATGTATATATGTATAAAGTGTGTCCTAGACGACTAGATAATGGTGTAATGAAGTTTTTAATTGTATACATACACGTGCTTATGGCTACAAATTCACTCTATTTGAGAAAGAAATCACTTTACCTTCTTTAGATTCTAGATTATATCACAATTTGCATATAAATAAATTAGTCTGTTATGTACGCATAATTATGCTTCTTCGGCGAATAAATGTACTCTGCTGTACGATAATAATAATAATATAAGTAATAATAAGACAAAAAAGGGTAATAGACTGTTCACTATGTCATGCTTTATTACACTGAAAATATGTTCACATACTCAAAGAAGTACAAAACACTAATGATATGTATTCTTTGATAGTTCTACAGTAAAGGGAGGGAGGTATTTATATGTGTATCTTCTTTTTTTTCCTTCACGTTCCCCAGTGGAACATAAGGCCTCAAGCTAGTGGCTTGAAGTTCCTGTAGTAGAGTTTATTTTTACAGGATGGGGTTGCTAGCCTCATGCCCAACCTTTCCTCTTTACCAGCATTATTTGTGGCTAAGCGAGGTATAGGAGTGCGTTGGCGGCCGGGGATCGAACCCTGGACCATGTGCATGGTCGGCGAGCGTCCCGACCGCTATGCCACCGACGCACTTTTTATGTGTATAGACTCACAGAACTACCTTTGCTCTTGGTAAAGAGCATTTGAACGTATATGTGTATACATAATACCTTCTCCTTGATAAATCAGAACTTTACTACAGTCCTCCTATGCTGCTAAATATGAAATCTAACCGAGTAATGTCAGGCTGTATGACACGCATCCTGATCCCAACCTAACAGTCTTAATTTCTTCTAGTCTGTGGTATAGCGCTACAAATGATGGTCAATTAAACCCACTTCTAAACTGTTGATTCCTTATGATTAAGACTTGTCATCAGAAAGGGAGAAAGCCTGTCTTTCACAGGTTATAACTGGTGAAGAGATAGTATACTCTGGGGGGGGCGAGGTATTATTTTGGTGGAGAAGTAATTTCGGGGTATATTTAATCGCACTTTATTTCAGTTCACAGAAATGATATTTTTTATGCAGAATTGTATTGTAAAACTATTTCTAACTGGGGCACACAAGTCTATTGAGATTTCTACGGTGTTCGTTGTATGTTGAAAGGAACTGCTGTTTATTGTGTAGTTCACGTCAGTGGTATTTAGGTTTGGCTTGTTTCACAAGATTGTTTGCTTTTATTCTACATTTAGTTCCTATAATAAACTATTACACCTCTTCGTCGATTTCGACAGGGATTAAATTGTCTGCAAAACTATTTTCAGCTATTGATAATGCTGAGAAACATAAATTATTGCATCTACAAACTTCTATGTCAATAAAATACTACTCATAGTATTCAACTCAGACGGTCAGATGAAAGTCTAAAAATCTAGTTGTATTCAGTGGACAGAACTGAAAGCTGTCGATGAGACAGTTGTTGAACGGTTCATGACTGAAACTGATCTTTCATGTGTCAATCAATGAGTCACACTTATTGTGTCAGCGCTTATGATACAACCAAGTTGACTAAGTTGAAGTATGTCTAGCGAGATTCCAAATCAGGATCTATTGACTGAATGTCGGGTGTTCAAAGCCAAAAGGACTTGTCTTCTGATGGTTAATGTTGTTGCAAACATTTTGTGTTATAGTGTAATGAAGCAGGTTGGATCGAAAACTTAAATGATACAGGGGTTGTTAAATTACCAGTCTTCAATTCCTAACGATGACCACGACATAAGTGGAAATTTATTACCATCTGCTCACAAGAAGAACCTATGCTTTCCAGGGGAATCTAGGCAGTAGATGTTCACCAACTAAAGGGAGATTATTTTAGTACTATGTATTAAAACTGTCAGCATTTCATGCATTAATTTTATATATGGGATACAAATAAATCATGTGGAATTTGTCTAAAAAATCATACTGACTACTTTACTCAGAGATTGAAATTCATGATTGATGAGGATCTGTTATTCTGATGTTCATAAGATTTATAAAAAAGTGGGATTGAAAAATGAAACAATCTGCATACACATTTGGTGAGTCGAGATGCAAAGGGACTCAAGGATCTACTGTAGCACTCTTGTGCCTAAGGCTTTCCCGCTTTCATGTGATTTAAAACTGAAGTCAAACGAGCAGATAGTGTTTATCTGAGGTCACGTTTACTTCACATCATAACCTGTGTGACGATTCACTATCATATTGAGAATAACTGAAGTTATTCAGGGTAACGTAAGGAAATCCATTGTTCGACATTTATGGTGAGGTAATTCGCTAGTGTCAAGTTCACGATTTTATTTTATCATGATTAGGACTCACGAAAATCAGTTACACTTTCGGCACACTTACAGTAAATAAGTCTAATAGATGGACAGCCTATTTCAGTAAAAGGGTGAAACATTATTGCAAAAGACTTAAATCATAGGTGAATCAGTAGATTGCCTAACCATCTAATGCACTTTTTGGTAAATGATACAGAAATGGATATAAATTGTTAATTTATTGATAAACTATAAGACATCGATTGACTTTTGAACAAAGAGAAACTTACATTCTGTATTTCTACAATAGCACCGGTTTCTTCAATAGTCACTGGTGTAACTGTTTCCGTTTGTATAGTGCTTTCACTGCTATTTTTAACGTTGTTTACATCGGTTGTCTGAGTGAGAACTGGATTCCCAGGTAAACTATCTTTATTCTCTAAAGTATCACTATGAAATAACATTGGTCCAGCGATCACTGAATTCCATAATACAATAAAATATAAAAGCTTCATAAGTAGTTCTGTCCTGTGTATACAATGGATTGTGTGTTTCAATGAATGATGAATAGATTTATGATAATTAGAAGACATGATATATTTAACCGTTTTGAAATTTCAAAATATTTACTATTCAATATTCAGCTGTAATTATGACGTGAATAATAATAATAATATGGGAATAATTTTAATTTCCGAATTTTTTTTAAAATGTTTATTGCCAAATTTCTAGAGAATGTAACATCTGATATTATTTTAATATTATCTAGGCTAGTGAGTATTTCCTTTAAATAATCATAATAGCAACAGCTGTTGTATACAATGAATGACTTATTTAGAAATGACCAATGAACGATACTAGTCAGACAATTCTGATTGGCTGATTGGAACTATTTGTCATCACTACTACTATATATTCTGACCAATCAGATTTGAGTAACTAATTTACACGTTTTAAATAGCATGGAAATAAAATATTAACAAATTTATTCACAGTAATTTCTTACAAATTTGAGATTTTCTGATCATTCATGAGTAATAGTTTTGTAAAGAATGGAAGGATATATGAAAATGTTTACTTTCCTGAGGGTGAAGTTTGAAAATATTCAGGAAATTCGACAAAAACGGTAAAAAATAACTTCAGAATAAACAAGGTAGAAAATTTTAGATAAAAGAAGTTATTCTTTCAGATAGTCTCGTACTCCATTTGTACAGTTGATATTTAACTCGAATTTCCCTTAATTTTTAAAGCTATTTCAGTTTGTATTTGAAGCCTGATCCCAACATACAAAATAAGTACGTCCAATAATTAGGTTTATGTGTACTTGGACTTATGAATCGAATAGCTTTTTCGTCCGTTACATTTTTATCCTATTAGACTATCAGAAATTGTCACTAGACCTCCTTTGGTCATACCTGAAAAGAACTATATCTTTCACATAATTCTGTTTTGAGACTTACATCTTCAATTGTCACCTGAACTGATGAACGTGTTGTTTCAACACGTAATGATCAATTACCCACTGAAACAATGAGACAAGTATTTTCACCAATAGGGCATTTAGGAGACTAATTCAGATGCCTACAATCTATCTATAGGAAAGTAATGTAGGAGTGGTCCTATGATGCCTGAGTGAGAGTCAGAAAGTTTGAACATTTATTCCTATTTTTTATTTCCATCCCTATTTTTAGACAGAACTAATTAGTCTATGTGGAGGTTAACAGCACTCACCATCAAAAATAACATCCGGATTTTCAACTCCAATGTGAAGTCTGTGCTACTTGCTATACGGATCAGAGACTTGGCGCGTCATAAAGAGCACCTCAAAAAAACCACAGACCTTCATCAACAGTTGTCTTCACTCAATACTCAAGATCAGATGGCCGACCAGAAAAGATCAGCAACAGGGATCTCTGGCAACGAGAAAACCAATCCAGGAACCGATTGTGAAACAAATAAGCAAGAAGAAATGGAGATGGATTGGCCATACTCTGAGGAAACCAGCAAATGATATCACTAGACATCCCTCGAGCGGAACCCAAAAGGGAAGCGGCGAGTCAGTCGTCCAAGGGTGACCTGGAGGAGGTCACGTGAAGAGGAGATGAAAGCATGTGAGCAGACTTGGAGCCAGGTGAAGACTCTAGGAGAGAACCGAACGCAATGAAGACGCGCTGCTGAAGCCATATGTTCCCCTAGGAATTAAAGGATATAATAATAGTGTAATAATCATAATCGTATATTCTCCTTCTTAAGCGCATGTCTGAAAGTTCATATTATTGCTTACTTTCTGACATTATTTCTACTTCACTAATAGTTTAGTGGATATTGATACAGTAGTGGTAATATTTGCACCCTACCACTTAATGATTTATTAGACTTATTCATCTTGGCGGATCAAATAGTAGGTTTTAACAATATTTCTCTAATGGCAAGCAGTCTTCTAGAAAAAGGCAAACATTTCATTTACGAACTATTACTCCAGTGGTAGAGCGTTTTCATATCCCCGATATTATAATCGCCATAATTATTATTGCTACTACTACTGTGGTGGTGTGATACAGACAATGTGTGCCAACGTAATGCTATTCTCACATGTTCCCACAGTCCACTTCGCCACTAAACAACAGAATACGAAAGATCCATTTGAACATTCTATTTGATGTTAGAGACAGAATACTTTCCCACAGTTCGATAATGCATTGATAACAAATACTATGTATATTCGAACATTGTATTTCATGTCGTTTGATGTGCACCGAAATCACACGCTGAGTGGTTGGTAAACGAATATAAACTCTTGATACATAACTAGTGGTTCGATTAATGAAAAACATACCTTGAGCTCCGTGTCTTGCCTTCTCCTGTCACACTACTACTACTAATAGTAATACTAATAATAATGATAGTGGTAGTAGGAGTTATAGTGCAGGGGTTATTAATAATAGTATTAAAGCTTTACTTCAGACAATATGTAAACATATATTACAGAAATTTTCAGTGTACTTACCTCTAAAATATTTCCTCTTAATACAGAATTTACATGCGAATTCTTTTTGAAGTAGACTATTTGCCGTAATGTTGTTGCATATGAAGAGAGAACCAATTCTGTGCATTTTCCCCACAATTCCTTAAATAACTTCATACAGTAAAGTGGGAAACTAATTAAATGTACTGGCAATTTGATATAATTGCAAACTTTAAATAATAAAAAGTGCGGAAGAGTTTAAGCAGTATTTTGATGGATGAAAATTCAGGTAGCTTAGTAATTTAACCAGGCCACCAGCTGTCGTTGGAGTAGCAGTAATTTACCGCTGTTCAGATTTAAGCATAAAATAATATTCAAGAGTTCATTAAGAGGGATTTGAGTAGTTGCAGTTTTGATAACAAGCTGACATCAGTTGGAGAACGACTAGAAAACTAGAAAGGACTGAAAAGCTGTTTCGTTCCAGTGTGGAAATTACATAAAGTTCTAGTGTGAAGAAGTGGCCATTGCAGTTCACCAAGTTAAGTAAGAGGACTGTTAATCACCGATGACATTGGTTGGTGGTTGTACCAAGTACACCACGAGTTAACAGAAGTTGGAATTCATAAACCAGTGGATCCAGCCTTACTGCTTGAATAGTCTACAAGACCTTCCAACTGGAAGGTCCTACATCCGAAACTTAGTGGGTGAGGACTGATGAAGAGTCCCAAACTGGATGGAACAACTGTCCAGTATTCCCGGACTTTCAAATGGTTGTCTAACTTATATCACTTCCTAATCAAACCTGTGATCAAATAATAATCATCGTGGTCAGCATAGTGTGAAATATTGCGGAGCTGTGTAGCTTAACACTATAATTCAAATGGGACATGATTTTTTTTCCTTATTTTGTGAGAAGCAATTAATTGAAGCCCTCGATTGAGGCACTTCCTAAAAAGAATTACAATTAAAAACAATAAGTCCCTTTTGAAATACAAAACTGATCAGAAAAATATGATGTATCTGCTCAATACAACTCATACCATGTGATCACTGATCTACTTGTCGGTCTAATTTATATGAAAATAAAGAGATGACCGGTCATTTAAAATCAATAAAATGATAAGAGATTTAGTTCTAAGAAGGATGACTATTAATGCTACTTTTAATAATATAACTAGATAAGGACTACCTGAATATATTAATTTTAACAAAAAACTGCTTTTGTTCACACTTGGGGGCTTTAAAGTTAAGAATGGATATGGCCTCAGCGTATTTCAGTACACACTCCTGACCGATTTTTCTTAGGATTTTCAAAAATGTTAGCATGATATTAAAACGATACGCTTTGGTATGGACTTGGCTGGTTGTCTACTCTCTGTGCGCATTGAGTTCAGTTATTTTTCCAACCGTTTATTTACATATTCTTCACCCAAATGTTTTATGAGATTATTCAGGGTTTTGCTCAATTACATAACACTTTTCAAATAAACTCTGTCTTTCTACAGTGCTATCTAACAAATTGCTGTACTGAAGACAGTGAAAACTCATTTTGAAATACAGAGTCTTCTAAACACTTTGAGCTGCAATCTACGAATGTTTGGCATATGATTCGCTCCCGCCAAATGCAAGATGATGTTACAGGACTGAACTACACTGACTCCCAGATTAGAAATAGGAAGTGAAGTGGTAGAGCACGTTGACCGCTTCACTTATTTGGGAAGTACCATCAGCCAACGCCAACTAGTTGATCTCTGGCGAAATCTCAGCACGGATACAGAGGGCTAGTTTCGCATACGCCGGCCAGTTTACGCCGTCTCTGGAGTAGACGTGATATCCGGCTATCGACTAAAGGGCGGGTGTACTGCTCATCAGTCCGCTCCGTCCTCCTTTATGGCTGCGAGACCTGGCCACTGAGAGTGGAAGACCTGAAAAGACTGGCTAGCTGTCTTTGATCATAGGTGCCTGCGTTCTATCTCTCGTGTGGAGTGGTAAAATAAGGTGAGCAATATTGAGGTTAGGCGTCGAGTACTAGGTAAGGAGGGGAAATCAGTCGACGAGGTTGAGAAGTTACATCGACTGAGATGGTTAGGACATGTGTTACGTATGCCTAGTCATCGCCTCCCTCGACAATGGGCAATGTTAGCGGATATAGGGTCAGGCTGGAAAAGAGCTAGTGGTGGTCAAACCAAAACATGGCCTCACCAGTCAATGAAATCTACAACAGTTAGTCTAAGCCACGTAGGAAGGTGTAGACTTCCTGACTGGTTGGGGTCCTCGGGACGGTAAAAGCCAATGGTTGGAAACCATTGGTGACATGGCTCAAAGTCGTTCTCAGTGGCGCAGATGTATCCACTCCTTGTGATTTATGATTTCCAATGAAACCTTTTTGTTCTTCGTTATTACTCCTTTGTCTCACACCTCTGTTTACTGTCTATATTATGCTTTTCTTGTACTTTCTTCTCTTGCTTCGCGTGCTACACGGAGTGTGGCGACTTGAACTGCAGCACATATGTGCAAAGTCCTATGTCGGAAACAGACAGACAGACATTTTGCAATTCAGAATTTATGCAGTATAACTCTGTATTGATCATACTTTTCAGTTAAGTTAACTGATGCAATTTTATATTT